TCCAAACGCAGCATCGCTGCAACCTAACTACGAACCGAACCTGCTAAAGCACGGCTGCGACACGTGGCCCGACGTGGCCTAACACCCGAAAAACCCTATATTCTTGATAGATTGTCAAAAAATGCACCTAAATGTTCAGGAATCATTCTTTTATTTTACGCATAAATTTCTCATGGGTCATTTGGCAGCGGTTTTGGTCAAGATTCGGTTGACATCTTCCGAGTTCATTTTTGCTCTAATGAAAGATTACTCGACCAACGCCAAGGTACTACGTACTTGACAAGTGGTGCTCATTATACTCACCCGAAACATGTGTCGGATTTATTCAGGTTTTCTGAAAATAAAAGGAAAAGCGAGGTAAAGTTTTCTCCTTCTGGTAGAGACCAGTCTTTGGAACCGTCTACCATTCGAAGAGCAAATCTCAAATCAAAGAACACACTCTCTGCCCCGTTCCTGTTCCTCGCCGGTCCGGTTCGTCTAAATATTCGCGGGCCATTCTGTCGGTCGCGGCGGGGTGCCGCGGAGGGGGGAGGATGGGAGAGTCGCTCCCTATTACTATCACACTAACTCGCTTACACGGCCCCCTGCCCCGCCCGACGCCAGAAGAGAAGCGCTCCGCTGATGCGCCTCTTCCTGCTTTTGGCGGCGATGAGAAAATATCCGGTGAGGCCGCGTGCGCGAGATGAGAATTGGAAACGGAACAGAGGAGCAGCGAGTTAGGGCGAGAGGAAGGGGGAGTTATGGGGAGTAGGGGGGAGCCATCGGGGCGCGATGAGCGATATGCGAACGACCACGGACGGCACGTCACGTGATACCAACCCGCCCGTCGACACGAAAGGTGGAGAGAAGTTTTAGTTTGCATCGCTATACCGCCGTGCCGATGATTCCCTCCTCCGGTTCTTTTGCGTTTCGGAGCGGCAGGGCAGGAGCAGGCTGCAGGGCGGTTCCTGCTGCTGCTGGCCTTGATGACTGGGGCGCGAGGCGCGCGAGGCCTCGTGATTAATGGATTATATTGCGCGCTTCCGCCGAGGCGATGATGCTGCGAACCGCTGCCGACGGGGGGCGCGCTTTCCTTGTTTCCTTTTTATTACCAAAGGAATTTGATGGAAAGAAAACTGGTCAAGGAAAATAAAATAGCGCCCAAAAGGGGGCAAGCGGCAAGACGGGGTAAACTATCAGAGGACTAAGTTTTACTTTAAAGAATCGCATCTAATGAGCTCACCCCATACAATTAGGGGCCGTCCAGAAAGTGCGCCAACTTTAAGCCTGCTCATTTCCGGATTCATTCGGCAAATTGCAGGAGCTCGGCGCGCCTGCGAAACTCGGGGTAGGCCACCCTGCAGTACACACATGCACTGCAAGGGAGATGTTGCCTACCCATCAGGCGCTTACGAGAGCTCGGCGCGCCTGCGAGACTCAGGGTAGGCCACCCCGCAGTACACGTATGCACTGCAGGGGGGTGTTGCCTACCCATCAGGCGCTTACGAGAGCTCGGCGCGCCTGCGAGACTCTGGGTAGGCCACCCCGCAGTACACGTATGCACTGCAGGGGAGATGTTGCCTACCCAC